ATAAACCTTCAAGCTTATCATTGAGTCTCGGGGGGGGGGGTATCGAGAGAAGTAGAACTATAACCATACACATGCTTTTAAAGCACATGATTGAAAGGTTACAACATATAGTATCGTATTTCTAACCTGTGTATAATTACAATCATTATTTTATAGAATATGTTTGAAATATAAATTTTCCAATCACTAACAGCCATCTTTCAAATAGATATTAGACGTAAGTCTTATCAATAGTTTTAAAAATTCAGACTGGGATCAATGATCATTTCATTCTACAGTAAATGATACTCCAAATGCCAGTTAATCATAACTTCAGACTCATGGTTTATGATATTGTACTATATTATTCAATACGAATATTTTTTTTATCAAATACTGAGAATTGAGTATATTATATTAAAATTATTTTGAATGTGTAGTCAGCAAATACCGTTACAACCACAGCCTATATAAAGTCGCAGTAGAAAGATATTTATCATAATTACATTTCAACATTGTGTGACGTTTTGTTGGTAGTTTGATGTCACCAAATATTCAACACTTTTGAGAAAGGTATCTAAAAGCCCTTTCCCTATGACTCTCTTAAGATAGCCAAATTCTCGTCATCTAATTAGTGACGCGCATGAATGGATTATGAGAGTCCCACTGTACCTATCTACTATCTAGCAAAACCACAGCCAAGAGAACGGGCTTGTAGAAATCAGCGAAGAAAGTAAAGTTTGAAGACTTATAACGCACAACATAGATAGCCCATTGTGTAGCATTGTGTTTAACAACAAATAAATAATCAAACATATTGGGAATTTATCCCTTGCACTTAATGCCATGAAAAAACAATGAAATGTGGATCAATTTGTGACCCAGGACTATCCAGAAAGAGACCTACAACAAGTGATACCCCAGTTGTGATAAGTAAAGTGCGGCATCTTGTAACAGGCAAGAATTCCCGAATACAAAGGTGAATGATAAAAGCCGTCCACGTGACCCTGGCGACAGTAAGCAACATATTCAAGGGGGATGTTCGTCTGGAAAGGCAACTCAAGTCACGTGAATACAAATTGATTCTACAACGGATCCGGATCCGTTTAACCGTCATATACACCAAGCAACTGGAGGATAAAACATGTATTCATGCCATTCTATATTAGGACATGTATGATGAAGGGTCAGAAGTTCAACTAGCAATGTAAGATTAAATGTCATGACCAATCATGCACGGTCAAACCTCTTCTAGGATATATACATATATATATGTAGCATATATGTTGTGTATTACATCAGTCATGGCAAAATCACTCGCCATTATGATGTCAAAGCATGTCTGTCCTAAGCACTAGAGGATATGCAATCTACATAACTTCTTTAAGAACAGTGCACATGTAGCTACCTTAATCAGACCACTGATTGTGCCAGCCCTTGGCAAGGATCACAGGTCAAGTGGGTTCAACCACCTCACATAAATGTGAATTCTTCCATCATTGTCTGGTTGTTATAGAGACAGATCCCGAGCCCAGTGGGGTCGGGGTTAAAACTACAAGAAACACTTTATTGTGGTAACTGAAATTACGTTAACTACTTTACAAGCAATGACCAAATTTTACAATCCTTGTACAATGTCTGTTCACCAGTCCAAAATATTAACTAACCAATTCGTATTTGCAGCATATGATGTTACTATTCGAAATCTAGCTTAGTTCCACAGCAACCGACATCATTATCAGTCACGCTTTCTATGCACGTCAAAGCGATTAAGTACCACCTTAAACAGTTAGAAGTATCAACAAACAATATTATGAAAATAAAATTAATCACAGAGAGAAATGAGCAGTAGTTATTTATTCAGCTAT